GTTGTCGGGTATATGCAAAGAATGACGAAGAAAGGTTATTTTTTATTGATCTACAAAAATGGGATGCAAGCAAAAGAAGCAGACTAGCTTGTAGACTCATGAACAGAAATGTAAAATCTGTAACAGGAATCATGAAAAAAAAATCAAGAGTATATACAGTCTATGCAGAGAAAACTGGTCTAGTTCATACTTCCGCGAACAACTTTCTGGCAATCGAGGCAGGATTTTCCGTCGCCGCCGCAGACGCCGCACGTGTCGACCACCTTGGGCGCGCCCGTGACCACCGCGCCGCCGCCGCAGTCGGACCACTCGGCGGCGACGACGACGGGCGCGGAGGACACGCTGCGCACGCACTCGCACTCCTGGGGAACAGTTGCGTCAGTTTCCATTGCACCATTTTCCTCTCTCTCTCTCTCTCTCTCTCTCTCTCTCTCTCTCTCTCTCTCTCTCTCTCTCTCTCTCTCTCTCTCTCTCTCTCTCTCTCTCTCTCTCTCTCTCTCTCTCTCTCTCTCTCTCTCTCTCTCTCTCTCTCTCTCTCTGAGTATATCACTATCAACATAAAAAACAATATCCTTTCTAACACACCCATAAGCAGTTGGGAACCGTGATGTTCATCCTGGTGACTTGGCCCGTGGTTGTCTGTCTATGAGGCTGCTCGTGTTGATCCTCCTGCATGTCCCACGCCCCGAACACCAGGCGGGTCTCTCGCAGGGCGTCGGCCTTGCCCCACGTCGAGGAGTTGCTCATTGGGCGGAATCTGAGGAGCGCCTCCCCCGGCAACATATACGCTAATACCTGGATATTGCGGAAAGGAGTTAAAGACGTGGTGGCGGTTATGTAGTGTATGTTGCTGTGTCTGCGTGTATTTCTTTTCTTTTTCTAGCGTGTATGCCAGCGTGTTTGGGCATTATCTATTATAAAGAAGGGAAATGATTCGACATTCAGAGGCAAGTCTACCGGGCGCTTCTCACCACTGGGCATTCCGTCGTGAAGTTCAGGCTCCCGGACCCGAAGCCGTTGAAGACAGCCTGTCCTCCCTGTGTCTGGCGTGCGACCCTCCGCGACGGAGAGCTGACCTCGTTCCCTTGGCCTCCCTGGAAGCTGCTTCTCTTCCTCCTCGCATTCTCAGCGCCGTGCAGACACGTCTCGGTTCCGGAGCTCATCATGGCGGCCAGGATGGTGGGGTTCCTTGAGGGGGCCAAGGGAGAACGGAGGAGGGTTAACAAACTGAACACGGACTTTCATCGAGGCACCTGATTTGTTGGTGATAACTCATGGCTTTTGGTAGTTTTGTGATGAATAAAGTAATGACTGACATGTCAAGGTAAATTGTTTTAAACATAGTGATTATATTCAGCCAGACACCAACCTCTGAAGTACATCTGCTTCAAGGCCAAAAAAAAGGAAGAAATAAAGGAAAACTTCCAGACCAATTATCTACACTTGATAATCCGCAAGAACTCTTATACTAAACGGCAATTACAGACCAGACCAAGCGTTTTACGTTAATCACGCTATGAAATTAGTTTTTCCAAAGCTTCATGAATCTTAATTAATCTTACTTCAGCGCATTCTTGATGTCGCATTCCAGTTTCCTCAAGGCATCTTCGAAGTTCACAACGCCGGAGAACGAGGTACCTAGCTTGAGGTACTTGGGGAGAGGATCCGCCGACAGATCCGCTATCTGGAGGAGAAACAGAAGCAAGCAGTCGTATCATCTCTGGTTGAATTTCTTCTCATTCTGACATGAGTTGATATTTAGCCATCTCTGTCGTTTCTCTACATACCCCTTCATTCATCCCCTCTGCCTCTTACCCTTTCCACTTTCCTTTATCTATTTACCTTTTCGTATTTCATAAATTTCCTTACATTTTATTTCCTCTTTCCTTTCTGTTCTACCCCCCTTCTTTCGCCTCATACCTTTTTTTTCTTCTCGCTGTCCAATCTGCATTTCTCCCTTTTTCTCTTTTCTTTCCCTCTGCTCAATTCCGTTTTTCACTCTGTCCCATTTCCTTTTCTTTTGCCTTATCCAATTTCCCTTTCCCTCTGTCTATCCCCTTTCCCTTTTCCCCAGCCCCACCCGTTTCCTTTTGCCTCATCCCTTTCCCTTTCCCTCTACCCCATGCTCCTTACCTTAATGTAGGTAGCGCCTCCGTCGAGTGAGTACTCCCACCAGCCCAAGGACCCGCCCGAGGCCTGATAGATCGCCATGCCTAACTCGGTGCCGTCGACGTCCCTGAAGAAGAGCCTGGCGTACTCTTGGGCCGTGGTGGCTCTCGTGGGCATAGCGGGGTCAAGCATCGGCACTTGGGTCAGGTCAGCACTTGTCTTGGGCACCGGCAGGTCATTCACGGGCTTGATCTTTTGCGAAAAGGAAATTCGAAACGGGATGATAAAGAGATGTTGAATGCGAGTGAAAAGATGATGACTGGGTGAAGGCGGATGAAACAAATGGAAAATGTGTGGATAAGCGTGTTGAACTTGGGTAAATCGTCTAATA